TTCTAATATATAGTTCCTACACATTTGTCTATATAACTAGCATTATGTTCATTAAATATTAGCTTTTGGATTAAGTAATTCTAATCAAAGATAGTATTGGGCATTTGCTACTCTTGTGGGAAGAGTCACTATGATATATATTATATACATATAATTAATATATATGCTAAAATGAACCCAGTTTCAAGCCTGTATAAATTATCTGTATTAGGATGCTCTGAAAGTACTGATCAACTATAACCACTTCCTAGGAACAAATCCAGCAGTCCCAATAGTATGCTATAAAACATTTAATTTACCCATAGTATGCTATAAAACCTTTGATTTACCGTAAGTAAGTTTCTGTCTACAGTATGTAGGATGGCAGGCAAGAAACACTGGAATACTTATATTAGCAGTAAATATCATAAAATCAATAGGAGAGTTCCCAGAATCATCATGAAAATGAAATTACAGGCATACTGTCATATGATTTAAGTAAATGTATAAGAGAAATATGACTTAACAACCCAGCAAAATCAAACACACCTTACAAGGTTATAAACTAATATTGAGACCTTGCAAATGACTGTTTCTCAAAACAATGAGAAAAGTTAATTATTCTGAATATCATCAAAATTTCTAATAAGAAATAAAGCTGATTTATGAAGCTGATGAGACCCAGTATTACTCTGTCTCCAGGACAAAGATGTTTATTCGTTTCTTAGTAAACAGTAAGTCAACATATAGACTCTAATACAGACATCAAGACAAAGCAGTTACAGCCCCTGAGTGGCCAGCTGCCAGTTTTCTGAATAACAGGTGGGTTTGGGTGAAACTGTTGCCAATTGTATGTGTTCAGAACTAAAACAGCCATTATACCTTGAATCACAGTGAGTACTTAGGCTCATTAGACCATTGAGGAAATTTGAACAGGACAGAAAACCATATATCATAGAGTTCTGACTCACAGTCATCTACCAGATGGGGGTGGGGGCTGCAACTCCAGTTCTTCACCCCCAGCTACTCCACATACACAGAGTGATTCACAGGGGTAGTCCCACCATAACTCCATGCCATTCACTGGAAGTCAGAAACATTTTTTTCCAATTTTAAAAAAAACAATTATTATCTAAAGATTGCAAACGTGCTCTGACAACTTCCTTATCAGAAGGTAAGGCAATAAGTACCTCCCAAGTGACAGTTTCTCTAATAATAAAATATTTTCAACTTCAAAGTTCCTCTTTCTCCTCCTTCCCTCTCGCCAGCCCTGTGATACCATTATTCTCCTTTTCCCATCATTTATTCATTGACCAAACACAAGGCTCCACATTCTGCCATATTGCAGCTAAATATAGCTGTGTCCCTCTTTGAGGCGCTCAAAGCCCAGTGGAGAGATGGAGAACTGCAAACTGTGACATATGTCCATATGACATAAAATCTTTCATGGCATTTTATTAGGGTAGAGCTACCTTACTGGGAAAACTATCTCCAGGGTATATTATATTATACAGACAAACCATACTTTACTTAAGGAATGCTTACTTTAATAGACACTTGGGCGGTTTCTAATTTTTTTGCTTCTGCAGAAGATTTGTCTTTACTTCAGAGAACTAAGGCTTTGGGGAGAGAACAAAATGCTTCACATATTCGACATACAAAACACTCTCCCAAAGGGCACTGCTGCTACAGCTGCACTCAGTTACTTTTACACCTACTGTAGGACAACTGATCCTCTCTGGTGAGAATATTCTAAGACATGTAGATCAGTCATTATCATATATGTAAATATGCAGGCTAGTTCCTCCCTAAAGAATTTCAATATCGCAAAAAATTACTGCCATCTTCATTAATATGAATGTTCTCTTCTACCCCTCAAATTCAGCTGCTGAAGTTTTAACCCTGAAGTGGGGCTTTTAACCAAAAGTAGGCCCACACTAGACACAGGGGCTGCCGGTTCAGGGACCTGAGGCCTGGGGCTTCCAGCACTGTGAGAACCCACTGTTTATAGGCTGCTCAGTCCATGGTGTTCTGTTTCAGCAGCTGAGCAGACTGAGATGCTTTCTATCTTTCTCTTCTCAAACTTGAAAATAGCCCCTTCTGTTCCTGCCTGTGCAATTGTCCCTGGGCGCTGCCTTCAGGGATGGATGACCCACACACTGAGGTCATGTGGAATTTGTGAGTATTCATTCCGTTCTTTTCCCTTCTCCACAAGCCCCATTCACTCTTCAAATTATTATCCCTATGAAGCCCTTTCTGTGATTTCCAGTTTTCAACTTAACTTACTTGTTTCGTGGACATTCTTCCTAGGTTCTTTCCAAAGTGAGTTTTAAAACTTGACCCTTCATTAACCTGACACTCATTCCAAATAGGTTTTTATTACAACTGTTTAATTGGTCACTGTCTCTCAGTGTCTCAGAGTCAGTCACTTTGATAATTTACCCTTTACATCCAATTTCTACAGCACTTTTGTTTTCTGAAGTGAAAAATAACATCACTAGTACTTAAAACACCACCTCGTGTATAAGATCCATTTAATTACTGAACAAACTACTGTTCTTACATTAAAGATAAGAAAACAGTGAAGCCCAAAAAACCTTAGCCAACTTACACCCAAGAACACAAAGCTAGTGAACATCAAAGCTAGAATCCGAGCCAGGCAGTCTGGCCCCAGAACCTGGGCCCCAACCACTCACTTGTCCTGCCTTTACAAGACCACAGAAAGGGCAGGTGTGGGGATGGAAGGAATCAATCTCATAGAATCCCATCTTGTCACCTTCAGTCATGATCTTTGTCATCTATCAGGAACCTTAAGCTTACCCTGACAAAACAGATGTATTAAATCCCAACTTCAATTCCACATATCCTGAAAGTATTCTTTATTCATAGGAAGCTTATATTATGAATTCCCGCTCTGTTAAAAAAATAGTTCTTCCCCCCCTCTTTTAAGCCCCATGATAAATAACAACTAGAAGAAAATTGTCAGCAATATGAAGTATCAGAAGGTTATACTAAATTAATCTTCTAAATGCATCTATTAGATAATTCCCATTTACTAATGAGAAAACTGAGACTCAGAGTGTTGTTAAAACACTTGGGGTGTAGCTGAGAGGCAGAGCACATGTCTCAAATACATGAAATCCCCATGTTTGATTCCAGGCCCACAAAAACAACACTTATATACAACAAAATCAAAGTCAGTAAGTTGTAAGGCTGGGATTCAAACCAGTCTAGTCATTTCATATACCATTACAGTGTGCCTTGCTAATGTGTTGCTAACTCAACAATAAATCCTGCTATCTCGACCCATCCCTCCCTCACCACCGCTTAGCTCTGCCTGTGCTCTTCACCCCACATACCCTAAACACGGTTCAGCCTCCATTTGCACTGTAACTAGCACCCTACTCAAAGACTCCATGACCCTGTACTTTCTATCCTAACCTTAACTCTGCCATTCATAGTCTCCACCCTACAGACAGCTATTTGAAAAAAGGGTAAATCCATCATCCATAACTGGCATCCCACCTCATCCCCACACACATAACATTCAGACTCTCCAATGGCTTCCTGTCACCTTAGAACACAACCAAACTGATTGAAGACTGTCTTCCCTGCTCCAGGTCCTGTTCAGCTCATTCTCTCTTTTTTCCCACCATGTTCTAGTGACACTGGGTTTTCTCAGCCCCTTGAATATGGCAGCTGGGTTGCCATCACAGGGCTTTTGCAGGGGCTGCACTTCCTTGGAACACTTTTCCTACAGACTTTTGAATGAGCATCTTCTCCTCACATGGGTCCAACCCTGCCCTCTTGGGGTCTTCTCTTTCCTCTAAGATGAACCTGCTTTCCCCAGGACTCTCCAGCTCCTCCATTGCAGTTCACCTTCAGGTCTACCTCAAAGGTCTTGTCAGCTCCAGAAATTGTGTTACATTATTTATTGTTATTCAGTCAGCAAAAAGTAACTCTGTGAGAGCAAGGACTTCAAGCTGCCTTGTGTTTACTGTTCTGCCCCCTGCCATTACTGTTTGATAAATGGCTGCCCAGGTCTACCACACATGGAGAGATTCAAAGTAAAAAAGAACATCATGTAAAATATTCACAAAAGTTTGTTTACTACACAAATGATATTTATACTATTGTTTTTCATGTGACTCCCGAAGTCACCTTTATCTCAGTCTGCCATTGCTTACTCATCTATACACTGGAAATAATAAAAGTCTACTTCAGGGTTAGAGATATAGTCATTTGGTAGAGCACCTATCTACCCAGCACACACAGGACCCTAGACTCAATCTCTAGTGCTGAAAAAAAACAGAAAAACTAAAACAAAATATCTACTGTATAATTGTGATGACTGCACACACATTGAACACTACCATCCAAGACCACTAATTCTACCACACATGTGGCATCATTCCAACAGCTTCCTTGGTGTTTGGCTTCACACAGGCCTCTGTTTGTCTTCTGTACTTTACAGTCAAGTTATTTTTCTTATATCATTCACTTATATGAA